AGGAGTAGGTTAGAATGGCTCTTAGATGGGAGGGGATGTGGTGGGTGGCCCGTTCACAGCCCTAATCTTGGTCGTAATGGTATGGACGCATGACAGAGGCATCTAGTCTCATAATATCACGAGATACTAAGCGAGACTACCCAGTGTTTATACGTTAGCTAGCCGTGCTAGCACCTTGTTTATAGGCGAACTAAGCAATGTGCATCCCAAGACTCATTTTTTTTGGGCTTCTCTCTCTCTATCTGCGCCGTATGTGAGTTTTGCACACAAATATAATATTTCGCATTCACACGGGGTTTTAGCCAATCGGCCGACCCAAAACGCCTTGCTATCTCCCATCGCTGCTAGGCTAGATAGAATTAGATATATACAAAGGGTTTAACCCGGCCTGGGGAGGATGGGAGGTGAGGGGGGAATTAAATCCAAAGGTTCCTCTCTCTCTCGCTCCTCTCATTCTGCTCTGTAAGTAAGTAAATGAGGAAGGGAACCAACGTTTCGTTATAAAAATCGTATCACATCTAGCCATGGTCCCACGCCGCGCGAGAGCTCCCCACGACTTTTCTGTCTTCTTTTCTTCGTACACTCTCTTCAAACCTTTTCTCCGCGTTGTCGTAAAAATGCCTAGCCTGGCCTGGCCTACATGACCTCGCAGCTCGAAGATTTAGGCGCGACGTTCGCAAGGCTGGGTATCAGGCTGGCGTGGGTCCACTCGAAGTGCTCCTGAAGCAGGGCGACGCTCTCGAAGCCGCGCTCGTCCTGTGTCCACCGCACGCGGTCCATGTCGTCATCGCCCTGCTCCTCGTAGTAGTATTCGTCGCAGAGGGGGCAAAGCAGCGGGGCCTGCCACTCGCCCAGTTCGGGCGGCAGGTGGTTCGCGATGGCGACGGGTGGGAAGACGATTGTCTTCTCCTCGCTCTCTAACTCTGTCTCCGGCCCCCTTGGTATTATTTGTCCTGTCGTGCTCCCAAACCTTGGATTGCTGCTCCCGTCCTCTAGCTCGACGTCCGAGTCTGGCCCTGAGATGGACGGGTATTTGTTAGAGTGGGAATGGGAGCGAGGATGGGTGAACCCTGTCGCGGCCCAGTTCTCCAGTATGCTTTCTGGCGATGTGGCAGGGCGCTGCCGCGTGCTTGGCATCGAACGTAAATCTTCCCATACGATGAATCCATCGCAGAAGTCGCAGACGAACGCAATGTCCTGGTTTCCGGGCCCCAGGCGCTGAAACGTTCCCGTCGAATTGCAGGCAGTGATTTCTCCAGTAGGCCTCGAGTTTAGCTCTGTCGCTGACGTTGTTGGTGTTGTTGAAGCCCCCCTTCGTGAGTGTTGTTGGCTTCGTTGTTGTTGTTGTTGTGGATGAGAAGAGTGAGAGTGAGGTTCAGGTTGGGGTTGGTGAAATTCTTGTTGATGTTGACTCCGCCACACGATTAAGGCGCCGAGGCACCGTGAGGAGGATCCCTCGAGGTCATCGTGAATGCGCCGCACAGCCCGGCATTGTGCGCGATGTAGTTCCCGCCTCAGCCACCGCGTTTCGGTTGCCCATTCCGTTTCTATTGGCCCACCCGCCCGTACCCAGTACTTTAAGTTCTGTGAGTGCTCCTCGAAACGAGCGCACAGTTCACGTAGTTCATCAAGGCTGTCCGCTGTGATAAGTAGTTAGTTTTGAAGCATAACATTCTACGATTATTGAAAGAATTGATTGTAAGTATCGCAATCAAAGCTTGAAGACGAAAGAATAGTCGCTTAACCAATATCGTGCTTCATCGCTTTCTCATTCATACATACGTGTCATCGAGTGAGAAAACCCAATGCGCCGCATGAGTGAGCAGAGAACCCCTAATTAAAAGTAGACAAACAATGTAAACATACCCTTGCGGTCATTCTCGTAGTAGAAGCGCCCATTGACGAGCGCAGGAAGGTCCTGGAAATCCCGTTTCGCCTCGTCGAGGGCTTCCTCGAGCAGACGCAGCTGCTCGAACTCGGGCGGGCCCCACGCCCGTTTGTCGGCGAACATGAGGATGCGCAGGGCATCCTGAATCGAGTTTGCGATGATGGCCAGCAGCGATCCCACCGTGTCGACGACGACTACGCTGCCGTCGCTACTCATGTCCGTGCATGCACAGGCACACAGGGACGAAGGAATCGGCGACGATGGGCAGCCGGGAGGGATTCTCAGCCCCTTGTCGTCTTCTCGTGCGCGCGCCGCTTCCTCCTCTCCTTTCGTCGTCTCGGGAAATCGGATTCGGCTCTTAGATACTACGGTATATGTGAATGGTGATGCGGTCTTTGCCGTTCGTGCCTTTAAACGACCGAACCCGGTTCACCAGATGTGCACTTATCGCCAACCGCTTATGGCCCTCGAGTACGTACCTTATGTACTGATCTGGCACTGGCACTTTCGTACACTACCTAAGTAGGTAGTAGACAGACAGGCAAATCACACTATTTGGTATCTGGCTTGAACGAGTGGGGGCCCAAATCCAGGTAAAAATAGGTAGGACTTTGGCTAAGCTGAGCTCGCACGTGGCAGGCGGCCTCAGTTCCTCTAATAATAGCTCTGATATCAAGTGCCTTCTCTACTCGCCTCTCTCTCTTATGGTGACGAATTTAGGAACATTGGTTTGTGTGGGAATTGGAGGTTTTGAAATTAGAAAAGGAAGTATGGCTTAAAGCAACAAAAAAGAGAAGAAAATCGAGTTAGGATGTGAGAGGTTGTTGCAAGTTGTCTCGGTGGTTAGATATTGTTTCCAAATCAATGATCAGCGTTTCTCTTTGGTGATACATGGGCACCTATTACCTGGGTACTTAAGAGCTTAGGGAGGTAGCTGTACAGTACTATGTAATCTGCAGTAGGCATACGACATGTACCTACGTAGTGTAGTAGTACCTCACCTATATATATGTAGGTAACATTACAGCATGTACCTACATATATATAGTTGTTAGGTTGCTGGGTCTCGTAGGTCCTAGGCAGGTCTAGAGAGGTACCTAAGGTCCTAAATACGACGTAGGTATCCACTACCCCCAATTATTAGGCACACTTCTAAAGACCTTCGGTGGTGTAAGAGGCATACTTCTGCCATCAGTGCGTTACTAGTGTACATTAGTGCATAAGTACTTAAGTACCTATCCTGGGGGTACACCACCTAAGTAGGTATCTAGACCGCGGGCTACATCTTAAATGGTCTAGCGTGTCTACATATTATATGTAGTATACGTACATGTATTACGAAGATTCTACTATTGGTAGATAACCATTGGGAATACTAAGATACATACGTAGGGCTATCCCCGGCCGGCAGAGCTGAAGCGCGGCCAGATCCGCGCCTGTCTGAGATAAATTTGAAGGGGAGTGTCAAGATACCAAGCCTTCTTATCCCTCTATTTAGACTAGATAACTTTATACTATGTGTGAGTCTTAGTGTATAGGGCTAAACACCATAATCTCATCCATGTATCAGGGTACAGGTCGGAAAACTCGGCCTGGATGCCAAGCGTGATAAGTCATGGCATCCGGGTAGGTGGACTCAACACGGCAGCGGCAGATCCGAGTGTGCCTCGGCCTCCACGTTTTGTTTGTTTGCACTAACAAGTTGAAACAGCAAGGAGGGGAGGGCTCTTCCTTGCGTCATGACGATCGTAAGCACAAACATCTCAAAATAATTCATGTAGGTCTCATCTGACTCAATTGAGTGTCGTAACGTAGGTGAGAGACGCAAGCCCGCTCGCTATGAAACCACTTTTCTTGCGAGTGAAGTGAGCGTGGGCTGCATTCACAATTCGACCTACCAGAGACTGTAAACCCTTGTTTATATCCGATGCAGTTTCAGTTAAATATCAGTAAATAAACAAGTGAATGAAATCAAGCATAGTGTCAAAAGACACTGCCCGGACAGATGCCGGATTGATCTAGTACTGCAGTATATAAGGTATATGCCAACACATAGTGTTATATAACCAAAAAAGCGGCTCATTCGTGCGATTGGCTGTTTAATAAGGGATTTATGTATTATATATGGGTATAATCGTAAGTTGTAAGTTAATATAATCTTTGAGAGGCTCTGTGATAAAACAGGTTTTATGCGGGGTACTTCTTGTTTGCATACATCATTTTTGACAAGACAGCTAGGTAAGGGGAAAACGAAAACCAGTTTGCTTATTATACACGATGCTCTTTGCACAGCAGACTTAATGGCCCGTACAACTTGCCGTATGAAAGCAGTTATACAAACATCTACCACTGCTGCTACTCTGGGGTTTCACTTAGTTCAAAAGCGTTGGCTCTATGAAATACCTACTCAAGTGATGATAGGTTGATAACCTCGAACATATAGTTTTCTGAATCCCTAATACCTCATTGGCGAGTATAGAGCAGCGATGTCTCCTCGTCATGCGTGGCCTTCCTGCCTATGACCGTTATATATGCTGTACTACCTCCTGCAAGATACGTAGGTCCTAACACGGCGATGACAGTAACCGGAAATTGTGGTACTGAATTATAGAGGAGCACATGTTCTCTGGTATGAGTATGGGTATGTGTATCAGTAAAAGCTTGCTAATTGCTGCGTGCCACTCGGGATTCTTGTCTAACGGGATATTGATGGTGGAAGACTATACTTCACTCGGATCTCTCCTATAGAGACACGTCATCTAGTTTGCTAGTTAGTGGCAGCCTGTTTCCTTCCTAGCACAATTACCATGTTGTATGTCGTATGTCGTTCGAATATCAGCTTGCTGTAGTAGTCGCATGATCTCCGCAATCGATCTTAGAAACCGTTTAGGTGGGAGTATGCAAGGGCTACTATGTACTCTATGTTTAATGGCAAACTATATGCAACCGGTTTTCCTACCAAATCGGCTCATTAAGGTGTTATAATGTGGTGGTGAGTGAGGCTAGGTTCAGGGATGCCAGGTGGCCGCTCCTGCAGAGCGCATGCACCATACAGTTAGTCGTATGGGTTAAAAGAGATCATATACGACCAGCAACTCATCCAACATCCAATGGTGGTGTAGTATAGTGGTTAGTACGATTCGTTGTGGTCTGGTGCAAGCACCCCTCCTCAATGAGTACCGAATAGACCCAGGTTCGATTCCTGGCACCGCCAACTTTTTGCTAATTTCTCTTTTTATATTATATTATTCAATCCACTCTCCTCGTAAAAGTATTCAATTCTTATTTATGGTAGGTAGGTAGGTGGTGGGATTACCATAGAGGGTGGCTATCACGACTACCTCCTACTTGTAATAAACCCGCGAGAATATCATCGAACATGCGTGCTCAACCTAGATTTAATTAGTCTGACTCTATTTATTATGAATTTCAAACTCCCCTTCCCTGGGTTTTAATGAATACCTGAGTAGAAAGAGGTTGCCAACTCTTAACTGCTTTTTTTTCTCGACTAACTGGCAAATAGGTTTGTTTACCCTCCCTCCTCTATTGATGATCTTACATAGATTGCTACACTCCCCTCCTATAGGGCCGACTTCCTCTTCTGGTCGCTATTGATTAACTCTCTAATATATAGATTAAAGCTTTAACTCTTGTAGGTTCACCAAGCACTTCTATTATCGACTACTAAGAATCTAGGCCACTATGGATACAGCAATGCGGTGATATATTGTCTAGCTCTGTCCCCGGGTAGTATCAACCTATCAACATTGTCGGGCTTTTTCCGCTTCCACTTTGATTTATCAGACAGACCACTTCGACTTGCGGTTCGAATATAATCTCCGTTTTTTTGTTCATCCGTTGCTCTTTTGCAATGGTATATTATGCTCCGTCGGCTTCACAAGATAGATAGATACATAGCAAATTGCCGGCTCATGCCGCTTCTTTTACTCACAAGCAGAGTAAGTCGTAATCCTATTTCTCAAAGCCATGCCAAAGAAAATTATCATCAAAAGTTTACACATAGCTTTTACTGCGCTTTCGTTTATCGTCACATGCTTTCGATGAGGTGGAGCCTTCGCTTCTGGTTTCGAACAGACATCGTCGTACACGTCGTATCTTATTGCAGGGTTACGTTATCTTCAGGCATCTGCGCGTTGCTACTTTTTACGTGGCTTCTTGGGCGGGGGCGTTTGCATTTTGCCCAGTTGTACTATTAGGAGATCCTGCTTCATAGTCCGGAGGATCGCCATTCGAAGGAGATCCACGGACCTCTGGGTTAGCAATGGTAATATCGTCATTGGCGTCATCTGATCCTGTTTGGGCGGCCGTGGCCACGGCCGCTTCGACTTCTTGTTGTCTTTGCCTTTCTGCCCGAGCTTCCGCTTCTACCTGGGCGATATGCCTCTCGGCTAAGCCCGGGGCGAGACTAGCGATGAAGAGGATGCCGGCACGCTCTAGTCGTCTTGCTTGATTCAACAACCAATTGGCGTTGTTTTCACGGCGCCGCTCGACTAACCTTGCTGCCGCATCAGCTGGGTCTGGATCTCTTGGCCTTGCGGCGTTCGCCCTTTGCGCGTCACCACCTTGAGCATTGTCAGCAACGGGACGTTGCTGCTGGTGTCCTTGTGCGTCCGCTGCAAGGGGTATTAGATTTTCTAAATGACGCCGCAAAGGAATCCATATTTGTTCCGCGAAAGGATTGAGGACCCCCGTGTTTACAATGAAGAGGGTAATGGCAATTGAAACCACTGTAATCCATCGGGACCAACTAGATGTCGGCGAGGTAAACCACCAAATAAACAAGGCTAGGCGAATGATCATCCATATGTGTGGCCACACTTGCACTAATCTAATAGCATGAATTTGCGGGTTATCCACCCCATGGCCAAATTGGGCTTGTATCTGGCCTGGCACCTGTAATTCATGTTGCGGCTGTAGTTGAGGTTGCTGACCAGGTGGTGGATTGTTGAGATGAACATTCGGTGCATTTCCACTAGTCAAAGGAGAACGTTGAATGATCTGTGGCAGTGCGCCGGGCCGTGTGTGTGGGTTGCTTCCTGAAGTGCTGCCTAATGACAAGGGCGGAAGATTAAAACCTACAGGCTGGTAACTACGGAGCTGGGGGCTATAATATGTTCCTAGGCTGCCATTCAACAAAATTGCACGAGGGCCACTCGGTGAAGAGAGAATGTACACTTCGGGATTTCCTCGGGATACTTGGCTTGTATGTATTCCGACAGGAACATTATTAGAACGTCCAGTTGCTCGTAGGGGGTCGGGAGTACCGGCCGCACTTCCGGTACGTGATGGAATCAGCGGCGTAGTGACTCCGGGCGGAATAGGCTGCTGACCCTGATGACTCGCTAAATTTGTTAGCGAAGAGCTGCTAGCATTCCTTCGCATAGCATCTGCCATAGCACGAGTCGCAGATCCTGCATCTGCCGTGCGGAAGATATTTCGAACGTCGTGGCCTCCCATAGGTCCGACACCAGTAGGTACCGACCGTGGCTGCGAAATTGTAGGGGTAGATGCTTCTGCTGAGGAAAGAGGAGAGCTGGTTCTCCCAGGTCTTTGTCCCGGAGTGATGTACGATTCATTAACAGTGAAACGCCACCTCTGTCCATCCGGGCCAATACCTTCACGGATGACAGTACGGGTAGTCTCCGGCTGGAATGGCGACCCTGTTCTACCCGGTGTCGTAGATCCCTGGCCTCCCCAATTCTGCGTGCCGTGATGACTCACCGAGTTAGGCCCCAGGTTTTGGTTTTGGTTTTGATTTATAAGCCCTAGACGGGCCAACGTTTGAAGTTGGTTCTGCGTGAGTTGTTGCGTTGTCCAAGGTGGAGGTTGAGTGCCAGTTTGATCGGGTTGAGGGAGGCCGAAGGCGATGGTAGGATGCTGAGGTCCGCCCATGCCCATCCTAATGTAGTGCTGGCCCTGATGCTGTTGGGGGTGTTGGTGGCCTGGAGTTTGAGAGCGCGAACTTGGATGTTGGCTGGAAGAGAGTGGAGGAGTTGGTGTCGGAGCTTCAGAAAGATCGCGCAAGACGAGATGTATAGTTTGGCGTTCTGAAGATCGAAGCTAAATGATGATACGTTATTATAGCTGTCCCTGTCGAAAAAGTACAGTGTTTAACCTACCAGTTCTTCACCAAACAGTTCAAACATAGTCTCGGAGTCGCGCGCTAACAGTCGTCCTCTGTGGATGAGCCGCTGGGCGTCATCTGGCGGTTTCGAGCGAACATGGCCTCGTATCCGCTCCTTTAACTGCCGAACTGTTGTTGTGATAGGGAGGTCCAGGAACAGAGGTTGGGGCACGTTGAGAGAGGGCGACAGGATCTGCAGTGTGAACTGGCCGGACTCTGGGGCCTCGGAAGCCTCGGAAGTGATCGGGTCGGACATGGTCGTGGTCACGAAGGTAAGGAGGGCGAATGAAGGAGTGACTTCTGAAATGACCACGGCCTAAATGCGTCGATTATCAAAATATTGGGAGTTCAAACGGGTGAAAAGTCACCAGGTGTAGAAAGAATCGGAGGTGATAGTGAGCATGTTAAGACAAAGTAAATCCTCAAGTGCAATTATAGAGGGAGCGCACCAGGTTTGGCCAAAGTGGACATCAAGACCAAAACTCATAGAGACTGACAGTAGTTAGGCCTTAAACTGGAAGTACAAGAAATAAAAGAAGAAGAATAACCATACTACTATTTGACAACAAACGACGCTATTTGGTTTTCACGAAATGTTGTTTAATAAGCTGGAGGTCTTGCTGTCCTCAAGAAAGTACCACTACCTTGCGTGTGCAGTAGTAGGTACAATGTACATCCCACCATCCACCCCACCGGTCGGAACAGCGGAGCAGCAGCTATAGCAGTCATGGTATCGGTCCGGAATAGGACTGGTACAGCACTGGTATAGGTACATACCTCCCTGCAATAGCTACACCGGGTTTAGCGTATCTAGAATCCACGTTGCGGAGGACCCTCCTGTTCTCGTGGCATCTGCCGACCTACACCGCCCCCAGTTACTTGCCAGGGAAAGCTGCAACAGGTGCGTCATGGAGGATGGAGGGAGGGAGATCTCAACTGGGACTGACGTTGGATTAAATCCTTCGACCTATTTCTGGTATTTTGGATCGAGCTCTATATTTCGCGTTTCCATGCCTCTCGTTTGTCTTCCTGTATGTCTAGGTCAATCCCTCGCTGTGAAGAGGGGTCTTGAGTCTTAGCAAAATCCCCAATTCATTTAGCTATAGGTTTCATTCTTCTCTTCCAACAATGGCGACTTTATCGACGGTTTCAATTCGGGGCCGAGTCCACCCACCATTGGGCATTGAACCACAATGCCTTTGTCGCCAACTGAGGGCAACTAGCATCCGGGGATCTGCGCGCCGATTCACAGCGACCCCAAAAGCCCCCTTCCATCATTCGAGACGCTTGTCCGAGAACAAAGATCGGTTCGGCTCTAGACTTCGGCATGCCCTTAACGATAACAAGATCAAGTGGTATCCTATACCAGTAGGGCTAGGTATAGGACTTTTAGGGGTTATACAGTTTTACAAGACACAGGCACGGGAAAAGGAAAGACTGGAAAGGGAGGCATCCCAGGAAGAAGAGCCACGCCCTAGGAAAAAGCCGAGAGTGCGCCCAGATGGACCATGGTAGACCGCTCCGATTCTAGAGTCCAGAGATCTTTTTAAACTTACACTAGATTTTGTACAGGCAAGTTCAAGTCATGTCCACTCTGCCTCTCAAGGCCATATCGAGATTATGGGGGAAATTTAACGAGCTTACCATCCCGTATTACTTACGCGTACCTGGCTTTAAATTATATTCTTTTATCTTCGGGGTGAATCTGGATGAGGTATCGGAACCTGATCTTCACGTATACCCCAACCTAGCCTCCTTCTTCTACCGGACCCTCAAACCCGGAGTGCGGCCGTTAGATCCGGATCCGAATGCGTTATTGTCACCCTCTGATGGCCGGGTCCTGCAGTTTGGGAAAGTTGACGGAAATGACATTGAACAGGTGAAGGGAATGACCTACACGGTGGATGCCCTATTGGGAAAGCACACGCCAACACCCAGTATTTCGAGCACAAAGTCTGGACTGAACGCTGAAAGCGCAGAACGGGGGCGCGCTAGGAAAGAACTGCGTGGTGACGAAGAGCTAGTGAAAGCCGACGAAGAATTTGCTCGTGTGAACGGCATATCATACA